AAGCTGGTACCTCTGTGTGGGTGTGCATGCTGGTACTTCAGTGTGTGTGTTCTGGCCCCCCTGTGTGTGAGCACGCTGGCGCCTCTGTGTGTGTGCGCTGGCACTTCTGTGTATCGGGCACTCAGCGCGGGGTCACTCCACATACCTGGAAGACCCCTTGTGCGTCAGCAGCCACAGCGGAGTGCAGAGGCGTGCGGCCCATGTTATCCTGCGCGTTGGCGTCCGCGCTGGCATCCAGCAGCCTCTTTGCCGCATCGGCGCGGGCGTAGCGGGCAGCCAGGTGCAGAGCAGTCTCGCCGGTGCGGTCCGTTTGGGCCAGCAGCGTGGCACCCTGGGCGATGAGGTCGGTGATGACATTGGCCGAGGGGTCGCTGTTGTCCTCATCTTCATCCAGGCTGGCCTCCGTGCCACCCACACGCAGAGACGCCAACATGAGGGGAGTGAAGCCGTCTGGGAGGGAGGGAGGACGGGGGGAACAGTCACTTCTCAGGCTCACACAGACTCGTATTTCAAGAACGCCAAGGCAAACTCTGACAGATCCAAGGATATCATCATCAGACTGGTGAATGGTATATGGTTTAAATGGAACAAATATGCCTGCATGTTAGAAATCATGGTTGATTGTTTCTAGATTAAAATAGGTTTAACATTCCTAGATGTCAAAGATCGGACAGAAGCACGACAAACACAATCTCAGTAGCTCTGCTGTAGTGACTGTGTGTGAGTCCCATGTCCAACAGCAGATGAGACCCGACAGTACAGCGTGTACGTGCAGCTTGATACCTGGCCCGCGCACGTTGACGTCCAAGCAGTCCACCTCCTGCTCAGCCTGTGGTGGGGTCAGCGCTAGTGGTGGGGTCACGCGGATGTCAGCAGCCTCCAGGTGCTGCTGGGTCCACTGTCGGCGATCGACTGGCCCCTCACCGCCCGACAGCAGTGCCTGGTCCTCTGTCTGGATGTGGCAACACGGACAAACAGACAGCTGTTAAGTTTGTGCAAGACCGCATCAGGCATTCAAAGACACAAAGTGTCTGTGAGCTGTACGGCCCGTCTCTCTCTCTCCCCCAGT